TGACCTTCTCAGAGCCTTGTGCTTCTCTCTCGCAGCATCTTCTGGATGGACTGTCAAGAGACAGTCCTTTCTCTGAACTTGTAGGCATCTCCATAGGGAAGGTGGAAGAGAGAAATGTGAGAATCAGGGCAGAGCTGGTTGTGACCTAACAATGAAGGCCCTTAGAAATGCTGAAGCAAACCCCAAACTTACCTTAAAGGATCAGGAGTCACTTCCCCTTGATTTTTATACAATATACAACCTGTAAGAAATTTGGGTTAGTTCGGAAAGTGCTGTCTTACTCCATTGATAATCTCTTGCTTTGACTTTCAGGCCTGCAACAGCAATGGGCAGTGTGTTGATGTGAATACAGCCTACAAATCAACCACTGGCTTCTCTCAGATTTGATTTTGGAGATCCTCCTTCCAGAAGGTTTGGCTTCCCTCTAGTCCAAAGAGATCCATCTGCCTGCATCCTACTAGTAAATCACCCTTAGCTTCCAGATGGAATCTAAATTGTGCAATATTTCTTCTCCATATTTAATCTGTTTACCTTTTGCTGTAATCAATCCTTTTTCCCGCCACAAACCTCCATGGGCATGTACAACACCAAGGGCTTATTTGCTGTCAAGAAAAAAAATGGCCATTTTACCATTTGCCAGTTACAAAACACATTTAAAACAACAAGTTCTGCCTTTTGAGCTGGGGTATTCAAAGTTAATGCTTCCTCTCCCAAAATTTCACACTGGCTTTCTAAGATGTAGCTGCTTCCATCAATAAACTAACTATTCTCATTCTGCATTTTGTAAACGCTCATCTTTCAAATCTGGTTTTCTGGAGTAAACCGCATCAAGAACTTGCATGCAATCCGGAGGTAAACCATCGGGTGAATTATCTACTGGCATTAAAGCAACATATTCACAGTTATTCAGAAAATATTTTTCTGGATAGTATTTTATCTCAGAAGGAGCCTCCAACTATAAATAAATCCACATATTGTAATACAGTTAAGTTCCAAAAGTGCTTTTCAAAAGGTAGAAGGACCTTCTTGGGTTTTTTTCCCTTGAAAATCTTTCTCTTCTCAGCCAAGTGAAGAAGTGCAGAAGCTTCTTGGATAAGAAGCAAAACAGTTTCTTTTTAAAAAAATAATATTTATTTTCATTTGTCAACACAAATAAAATAAAAAGAGAGAAACAGAAGAATGAACCTCCAACACTAAGAATGAAGCAAAAGGAAAAATAAAGGGTTTTTTTCTGGATACAAAAAAAGGTGGGGGGACCTAAAGGTTGAATATATCCAACATCGCAGGATTCAATCTGAGTCCGTCATCAGGACCAGAAGTTTCATCTTCCAAACTTCCGGTCTCATGCTGGAGCCCATCCTCAGAGCCCGTCTCTGTGTCCAGCACGAGTCCGAAAGGTCAGGAAACAAAAACTGGTCCTGGTGACTGACCCGGATTGGATCCTGCAACATTATCCGGGACACGTATGTTCTCCTTCATTCATGTCTGACATGGAACAAAAAGAGCCCACCCCGGCTGGATGCTGAAACATTGAAAAAAATGATAGGTTCTCCTTCTCTTGTGTAATGGGTCTACAAATAGTTATAAGCTTTCCCATCCACATTTGACAAAAATACTATATTAAACAAACAAATATTCCAGATGAAGAATCCATCTATTATTGTATTCAACAGGTAGAGAGTCCACCAACAGCTTCCAGTCTCTTATAAACCTGTCTAGTCCATTGTCTGATCAAAGCAGTTGGTTTTGTGGGAAAGACCTTGGGAGACTGGGCAAAGAGAGGGAGCAGTCACACAAGAGACAAGATGGCCCCATAGCTGCATAGTAGGTGGAGCAAGAGACTTATCAGGGATCCTCCCAAGTTTCTGTAAAGGAAACAGTGGGAGATTTCTCCTTTCAGAGACTAGAGGAGTTGGTTTTCCAGACTCTCATCCCTCCATTTCTACTCCTATTCTGCAGTGGAAAAAGCTCCTCAAATAGACCACTAAAAATTGCTCACTTGAGCCCTGGTGCTCCTCGTACAGAAGTACTCAATTCAAAAATATCTATTTGTATTTGTGAAAACCCATTTAACCACTCAGATGGAACAAGTTCTTACCTCCTGCAATTGTAGGTGCTCTATCTGAGCAGATCGGTCAGCCAGAGTAACTTACTTGGTCAGTTAAAACTACCACCTGCAACATTTAGCAACAAAATGCTTTTTTAAAGCACATATTCCATGTCTTCCTAGCATTTGCCTTCCTTTCGTCTTAAAAAGTGATGTAAAAAGCACTAGTGTGTCTTATGATTTGGAACTGAGGTGGATCAACTTCTCCTGGTCCTGAATCAGGTTGCCTTGAATGTATCGAACACATTCATAACAACGTGATATATTTTAAAGGAAAGATGTTGGGCTACCATGAATGTACTTGATAATATACCTTAGATTCTGGAGTGTTCATCATTTTATTGTTTTGTTTTGTTGCTTTATTTTTTACAAGCTGCCCATCTTGTCCAGAGACTAGTACAGATTAAAATAAGAAAGCAGAAAAAAATAACAAAGAGTCTTAATATAGTTAACAGATGGAGAGGAGGAGAATGCTAAGTACATGAGGAAAGATGGGGGTCTTTCCCAATCTAACAGCCACCTCCAGAATGGTGAACCCCAGTGGGGGCCTCAGTCCAGCTGGCAGAGCCAGGTTTTCAGCCCTTATGGAAGGCCAAAAAGGAGGGGAGAGACCTCACCTCCGGTGGGAGAACATCCCAAAGGGCAGGAATGGCAGGGCAGAAAAGGCTCTTCTCCTAGACAGCATCAGCCAAAATTCCTTGATTGATGGAGGTGGGCAGCATGCCCTCTCTGCATCCATGGGTGGGGTGGGCTGATCCCATCGATCTGAGATGATTCATTTATTATTCCTTTTCTCTTGTAGCTCAAGTCAGAGCACAGGAGGAGGCTGGTCCTTCTCACTTTAGATCTCTGCAATAACTACCATTTGAGATAGGTTGGACTAAGAGAGCAACCAGCTAACAGTGATCCACGGTTGAGGATAAGCTGAGAGTTGGATCACCCCAATCCAAACTCAACACCTCAGTCGCCATGCTGTACTTCCTCCTCTCAATGGAAGCTGACTGGCCATCCTTACCCTTACCACGTGGATGAAGAACGTTTTCCTCAGGAGGCCACGTGGCTTGCTGGACTGGAAGTTGGAGGCTGTAGAGAATGGTCTCCTGTTCATAAGAATATTTTTCTTCATCTTTATTAAGATATTAAAATTTAATAGCGGGAGCTATTAACACCCAGTTATAGCTGATTGGTTGAAGAATGCTGGCTCCTGCATGAAGGAATCTGCACTGTGATTGGTTGTTGTGGGTATGGAGGGGGAGGGGGAGTTTCCCTTTTTTACCTCGTGTCTTAATGCAGTTCTTTGAACTAGGCATACTAGGAAAAGTACCTCAGAAAATAAATTTATTAGATGCTCATGAATATGTATACAAGTTTTAATGCAGGCTTCTTGTTAATACAAAATTTATAATGATTGAATTCAGCCATGATATGCTCATTTATCTATTTCATTTATACCACAACTTTCACCTCAACTTCATATTTAATGCAATATGTTTACAAAAGGTATCAGATTACACTATGAAATAAACATCTTTCCAAATCTTTTGCCAAATATCAAACATTAATTGCCAAACAACCAACACTACTGCAACAACTGTTCATAACTCTGGCAGAAATGGACTATCCTTTGTCTTCTATATGAAGAGGAAGAAAGAATGATATATTAGAAAACAAGGAAGAAATAGATAAGAGAGAGAGAATTTGGATACTCCCACAATATTTTAGCTTTTGTCCCTATTCACTATTTTATCCAGTCTTGCCCATTATTTGTGCAATGCATCTCCTAGTTGATCCTCAAAATATCATTATGAACAAAAAGGCAGGAGAACAGGACTTCACCCAGTATGGGACTCTGCCCAGTATGGTGCTCTGAACTAGCAACACATTTGTTTATCCTGCTAGACACATGGCTGATTTCAGAGCTACAGAGCAGGTCTCTGTAGCTATTTTATTCTTGGAGTAGACAGGGAGTAACATGGAATTGCCCTGAAGCTTCTTGGATGAATGGCTTTCCTTGGCTGGGGGTTTGTAGGTGAATATTCAATAATTTTTTTCTCCCTGGTAAGTTTGGCTAGAAGAGAATTGACATCATGTCCAGCCAGCCTTTGTCTTCAAAGACGCCTCTCTTTTAACTTCAGACTTTGCAAAAAAAAAAAAAATGTTATTATTATCATTTGCAAGTTAATTGCTGGCTGTGTGCTAGAATTTGGATACCTTCCTTCTTCGTGGACTCTAATTGATTTAATAACACCAGAACAGTGTCTGCAAATAATTAATCATTCCATATGGAAGACACAAATGGCAACAAATTTTTTAGATTACTGAGAAACTGAGTTATGCTACATAATTATGGTAAAATATGGAAGGAGATAGAATTTGAATATATGGAAAAAAATCCTTAAAAACCCAAGTTACCATCTTGACTGGGGAATTCTGGGAGCTGAAGTCTACACAGCTTAATGTTATAACAAAAGTTCTTGAGTTCTCTACAAAGTGAGAAATCTATTGTGGCACAAAGGGGTTTTTCCTTTACTGAAATCAGGGATCCCTTAGGCAAATGCATTGACATGGATTCAGTCTATGCTAGCAATATTGAAAGGAGGCTAGATTGCTCCCAAAGTGCCTCTTACTCACAAAATACTGTAAAAACCATCTCTTGGCATTTAAGACCCCATGCACCAGAGGCCCCAAATTTAGTCGTATTAACAGGTGAGCCAGGGAAAGGTCTGCTGTGACCAATTAATAGCCTCCTTTGGGCTTTTCCTTTGGAGATGCCTTGAATGAACCCTCCCAGCTGTCATTTTTGGAGTGACATGCGCTAAGCCAGCTGGAAATCTGCCCTCCAATAGTATTGTTACAACTCAGAATTGTGCAAATCCTTTAGCAAACACCTTCTCATATAAGGGCATGAATGAAGCTGAAGGACTCATTCCTTGCTTCTCATAGTCAACAGAGGAAGAGCTCAGGTTGGCTTGAAAGCAGGAAGAGATTGCCTGTCTTCCAGCCAAATCCAGCCTCCAAAATGATCCAAGTTCTCTTGGTAACCATATGGTTAGCAGTTTTTCCTTATCAAGGTAAGATGTTCTCTTTGGTTCCCTTGTTCAGATTCTTACTGCTAAAAGACTATTGCACCCAACAGATTGCTATGTTGATGGGTTTTGTTTTGGGTTTTATTTTTGACAATTAACCAAAATTTGTTCCAGGGACAAATTTCTTCAGTTTCTACAGATTTAGCAAAAGAATGGTCTCAAGGATCACATTTGTTCTAAATTGACATAAATGGTTTCTTGGTATTTGCTTAAATTTTGTCAAGCCACAAGCAGATCCTAAGAAAGAAAGTCCTAAGATCTTCAGAAGAAAGGCACATTCAAATTGGAGAGAATGTTTTTCAATGATGTGAGTTTTTAAAAAAAGGATTAGAAGACTGAAGAGGACAGAGAGAGACAGAGTTTGTGGCAAGAAAATTTCAGAAAGCAAAATGTTAAAAGAAAAATAAAATGTTTTTGGTTTTAATTTTCTTTCAATAGGTCAATTAGACATCCTATAATTAAAAAATGCATAATATTCAGACAAACAAAAGCTAGTGCTATTGTGACTGCAGAGAATCTTCAAACTGTATTTAAGATAATGTGACACTAACTTTTCTGAATGCAAAATTTTGAATTATCTTAAATTATTTTTTCCTTCTTCCTTTGTTCCACTTCAGTTTCTACAGATTTAGCAGAAAACCAGGGAGATTCCCTTCTGAAATTCTTCCCAAGTTCTGCTTCCTTTTGTGGGCTGAGATACTTTTTCCATGCCAGTTGACCAGTCTATGTCTCTTCTTCCTGTCTCCCAAGTCATTCCCACATATCATTACAAACAACGATACTCAACTGATCCAGATGTTGCCAAAAACAATTAGGGCTTATAGACTCACTGCTGTAGCCCTCTCTCTCTCTCTCTCTCTCTCTCTCTCTCTCTCTCTCTCTCTCTCTCTCTCTCTCTCTCTCTCTCTCTCTCTCTCTCTCTCTCTCTCTCTCTCAGTTCTGTAGGTATTTGGCTAGCAGTTTCTTTCCCATACTTGTGTTTATTGATATTTGAGTTTATTGTTTTGATTCCACTTGCAAGTATAAGCAAACCTTTTACCCCCTCCCTTCCATTAATCTGCTAACAAATCTTGGTCTCAGTTGTGATTGTATATCCAAGAGGACTTGCAGGTATCAGACTGCCATGTTTACAAAATGAGTTAAGGAACAAATATCAGGTGACCATGCAATGTCCATATGGGGACCAACTCTAAATATTTCAGCTATTGGTCTAATTTTGAAATCACTACTTATTTACATGTTCTTAGGTGCTCCAGTGATAATTATGATGCTGGTGGGTTGTACATAGATTCTTTTAAAAATGAAAGAAAGCAAAGTCAGCAAAACTATTAGGATGGCAGTGAAATAGCAGTTCAACTGAAAGGAATTCCTAATAAGCTGCATTTGCATAGAAATCTAAGTTTCCCTCGGTTTTTCACTAATGGATATGCTAAACCATAATACAATATGGTTTACTGAATTGTATGAATCAGATTATTGTGATTTACAGTTTCTCATGTTATCCTTATCACTCAGTGCACAAACTTGCAGATTGGTTGAGATTATTTATTTATTTCCGATTATTCAAGCTCCAAAATGTTTCTTTTGCACCTGCCCAAAGCAATGTCTCCACTTAGACTTCCAGCTCCCAAACATGATTCAGCAAATCGCATTCCCAGAGAAAATCTGGATTTCTGTGCTGTGTTTCACTAGAAAAAGATTCCATTCTTCACTGAGAACTGAATAACAAATTGTGTTGTGGATGTGAGAATGGTAGAATAACCTGAGTATCCCGCCCTGAGTCCTACGGGAGAAGGGCGGGATATAAATCCAAATATAAATAAAATAAATAAATAAAATAAAAAAACATCCCAAAGTAAACCAAACCTTTCTTTTCTTTTTCCTTACGAAGGGAGCTCTATAATTCTGGAATCTGGGAACGTTGATGATTATGAAGTCGTGTATCCACAAAAAGTCACTGCATTGCCCCAAAGAGCAGTTCAGGCAAAGGTAAGAAAAAGATCTTTGTTTCATCAACAAATTATTTCTTGTCAGCCCACAGAAATTTTGATATTCCTTTGCTGCCATGTAACGGTTATCTGGATTTCGCATTGCAATCTACGTTCCTGTTTGAAATATTAAATATATTTATTAAACAAAATTATATGACTTCCCAATTCACAGAAAATTGAAGACACTCCTGCCAATTTACAAACAGAATTTCCTAATATGTGTAGATTAGTATAACTAATAAAGTGTTGGCAGACAACCAGCCGTACAGTGAGGAGGGATCAAGTAGAGAACTAGCCATGAGTCATTTCACAGCTGCAACAGATCCAGGACTGACATCCTTCCCCCCCCCAGGAAATTTCATAAAAGTTTATCTATCTGTTCTGAAGAGAAGGGAAGCAGTCTAGGGAGATTCCTGTTTTATAGGCAGAATACAGTAAAGTACTTAATTTTAACTCTACATGTCTACATGCATCACTTAGAAATATAAAAGATGTGTTTCTAGGTGAAGATGGTATAGTGGTTACAACTCAAGATAAGTTCTAAGAACCAGATTCAAGTCTATCACTGGATGACATTTGAGTCCGTCTCTCTGTCCCAGCTCAACCTCATTCACCAAGATGTTCAATTAGAGAATGAGATCTTGAACTTATGCAGGAAAGTTAATTTAAGATCTTACAGTTCAAAGCACCAGATGAAATACTCTAAATCTAATGAATAATTTGGCTATGGCAAGTTATTCATTAGATTTAAATTGATACAGGTGTAGAGTTGTTAAGAGGGTACACATTTAATTTGCCTAATTTTTTAAGAAGTAAACCCTGAACTCTTTGCTTTTCAGTATGAAGACGCCATGCAATATGAATTTAAGGTGAACGGAGAGCCAGTGGTCCTTCACCTGGAAAAAAATAAGTATGTTAACTCAGTTTTTTTTCTTAACTTCACTTGGACAATGTGGAAAATGTATATTCCTGGATACAATCTAAGATAAATAATAATGACATTCCTTTCTTTGGAAATTAACACTAAACTAAATGTTACTGTGTAGGAAAAGTGGATATACATATTGAGTATGCTAAATTCTAATGTGTGCTTTAGAAGTTCTAGAGTCCCCTTTTGTTTTGTTTAAATAAGAAGGCTATTCAGAAATTCAAGGGTAGCATCTGGATGATCTTGTTTTGGCATGGAAGCAAAGCAGAGCTACAGGGGGAAGACCAGCAAGGATATCTAGACTGGAAAAATGTAAGGCATGATGTGACATAAGGAGTGGAAAGTGACTCCATATACTGGTTTAAAGCTTCAAGAGAGATGCTTCTGTATGAAGGTTCAAGGCATTTCCTTGAAGTTGCTTCATTTTACTCTTTAATAAATAGAACTATACTGCTCTCCTTTATAGACCAAGCAGTTTCATCAGATTGTTGCATAGACCAGAAGAATAAAAAGAAGACGCAATAGAAAATGTCTTCTCCTGGTCAATCATTCTCCTCTGAGCCTTGATGAAGAGAATTGCACAGCTTCCTTGGTGTAAATCTCTATCCTCGGGTGAATCTAGTATGCGCAGCCCTCCTCTTAAATAGTCATGGGATTGAAATACCTGCTCCATTCTTTTGATACCAAACAAGATGCTTACATTTCCACTATACAGTAGTTGTAAACTTATTATAAAATTATCTCAGTCCTACTTAATTCCTGACATAGATATTCTCTTCTTTGCAGAGGACTTTTTTCAAAAGATTACAGCGAGACTCATTATTCCCCTGATGGCAGAGAAATTACAACATACCCCTCGGTTGAGGTAGGGTCTTACTTTTAAGAGTGTTGCTTTTAGGAAGTAAATTGAAGCAAATGTTTGTGCACAATATTACAAATATACAAGAACGAGAACAGGCTACTCAAATAAGAAGGGCTATATATGTATGAAGTATCTTATATTGATATGTACTTATAAGGATATATGGATTGTTAAATCCAGATTGTTTTACTCATTGAATTATCATGGTAGTATTTCAATCATCCAGTTCTTTCCTACTGGTTAAAAGCCAGCATTTTGGGGAGTGAATTTCACAAATAGATTTATTATGAGAACATCAGGTTTATAAGATCTATATTTTTATTTTGAAATCAGACTACAGGGATACATGCAAAGTCTTTTATTTGTAATACCAAAAGTGATAACAATTCACTTTGCTCCTATACAGAAATCCATAAAATATCTTTCACATTAAAAGGGTTCAGAACATGGCCTGCCAACTGCAAATAAATGACAGCACTAACATGCTTTGTGAAGTCCTTGGCTCCTTGCACCGAAATTGATCTAAATGTGCATCCTCTGTCTCCAAAAATTATCTACTTCTGGCTTAGCATCTTCAAAGGTCATTCAAATTGTTCCTACTTAGTGTGTAACAGAAATCTCTTGATTTTAATGTCTACATGGATCCTGCTTCCAGATAATGCTAGGAATTAAATCTGTCTGTATATTCTGAAACTTTCCTTGTGTGAGCTCAAGGAAATAATGACTATTTGGTATCATTAGTAAATGTGGAATTTTTCATACATTATGGTAAGTTTTCATAACGTAGGACAACCATCAAGTCTGAAAGTTTCTTTAGCAAATCCTGTGGTTGAGCACTAGAGTTGACCTCCAAGAACACATTTTATATTTGTATGTTGGTTGTCTGCCCAAAAGTTCTTAGCTTTGTGCCATCAGTGGGACTTACCCTGCCATGTGACCTGATTTATGGAGATTTGCATTTATCCTATGTTCATTTTTCAACAATCAATATTAAGTAGGTCTTCTGTCCCCCTAAATCAAAGTTTTCTAAATAACTGCTGTCTTAATATTTCCTTGATGTGGTGGAATACATTGGAACTATACTTCTGCTCATCAAATCATACTACAAACCAACTTTAACCAGTGTAGTCCTCTTGCCTCCCTCCAGGATCACTGCTATTATCATGGACGCATCCAGAATGATGCTGCCTCAACTGCAAGCATCAGTGCATGCAATGGTTTGAAGTAAGATAATCTCTAATCTTTTATTTATTTTATTAAGAATAATGTACTGCTCTTGGAGTTGTCACAGTTAAAATGGAGGGCATCAGTTTTTCATGCAAATGAGTTGGGTGTGATCCAAGACTTCTGCAGAATTAAGAAAGACTTTGGTTGAATACCAAGAAGAGCTGCTGACAGCCAGTAGAGACACAAGGGAGCTAAATCAGATGTGTCTAAAGGAGCTTCCAAGCCCTTGTCTCCTTTACATATAGGAAGTGATGTTACAGGTAGAAAATATAAATAGGTTTCAGATTGCATACCTTGCTAGAAAGTGTACAGGAAGAGGCAAGCAGACTCTTCAGTTCTACCCAGAATCACTTTCTTGACCTTCTCCAACAATCTTTATATCTTAGCCACATAAAGATCCTAAAATTCAGAAGGTCCTTATCATTAGTCGGAATCAACATCCTCTCAACAGATGTTAGTGAAGGAAGACACTAAAAGATGCCCTTTGAACAGAGACTGTGTCCATGCAGTGGAAGAATAAATGAAAAGATAGAACATAGCAGAATAACAACAGAATAATAAAGGAAAAGCGGAATGACAGAATAACAGCATTGGAAGGGGCCTTGGAGGTCTTCTAGTCCAACCTCCTGCTCAAGTAGGAGACCTATATCATTCTAGACAAATAGCTGTCTATCTCTTGTTAAAAAGCAGTAGTGATGGAACACCCACAACATCTGAATGTAAACCTTTCCACTGGTTAATTGTTCCAATTGTCATAAAATTCCTCCTTAGTTCTCCTTGATTACTTTCCATCCATTGCTTCTTCTCCTGCCATCAGGTGATTTGGAGAATAGGTTGTCCTACACTTTTTTGTGACAGCCCCTTTAATATTGAAAGACTATCATGTCATCTCTACTCCTTCTTGTGGTTAGCCTGAATGTACCCAGTTCTTGCAACCATTCATCATATGTTTTAGCCTCCAGCTCCTTGTTAGTCTGCACTGTTATTCTTCAGTGTTACTCATGTTATTCTGCATCTCTATGAAGATACTTGCCAAGAATTCTCATTTTCATTCTTTATTAAATATCCTGGTCAACCTGACTCTTATCTTAAATTGCTATCAGATCAATCTGATTTTATTTCCTTGACCACAGCCAAATACTATTCTATAGTTTGTAAAGTAAATTGCAGTATTTCCTCTAATACTTTTTAGATATTTTAGAACAATTATATATTTTCTTTTTTTAAACATAATTAGTTGTGATTCTTGAGCTTTAGAAACTTTATTTTTTTTAACATCCTAGGAAATACACAGTATTGGATTCCATGCCAAAGTATGTCCAAACATATACTGTACAAATATTTCATGATTGCATTGAGTGTGTGCAATCTCTTATATTTTTCTGATCATAGCTGTATCTTTGAGAAGTATGAGAAAGGGATATGAGTGCTGAGGAAAGAAAATAAAAAATTCAGTGAGTGTTAAGAAGGAATTCAGAAGCACAGGGAATGTTGACTTGCTTAGTTAAAAATGGGTCTCAGAGCTGAGTTTCATTACCCAGCTAGGTAACATCATCAGTGCAGGTTATCTCTGAACTAACAATATTCTCTTCTATTGCTTCTCCATCTCTGATCACCCTTTTCCACATTGTTTTACAGAGGACATTTCAAGCTTCAAGGGGAGACGTACCTTATTGAACCCTTGGAGCTTTCCGACAGTGAAGCCCATGCAGTCTTCAAATATGAAAATGTAGAAAAAGAGGATGAGGCCCCCAAAATGTGTGGGGTAACCGAGACTAATTGGGAATCAGATGAGCCCATGAAGGCCTCTCAGATACTGCTTACTCCTGAAGTAAGTCTCATAGTAAACATGGTTTGAGAACTGGGATTCATTTACTTGTTTCTAAAATGTAAAGTAAGAGAGAAATTCTTTGGGGGAGGGGTGATTAGATAGAATTCAAAAGGGAGCCCCCCATTTCAATCTTTTTATTCTAGCCATGTTATAAAAGAAATAATGGGAACTTGATGAACAGAAAATACATGTTCCAGGCTTATAGCAACATGTCTAAACAGCCTTTTGTTTATTGTTCTGTTTAGCAACAAAGATACTTGTACGCCCCAAAATACGTTAAGCTTATCATAGTTGTGGATGATGTAATGGTAAGTATCCTGGATATATTTTCATTTTCTTTCTGCATTGAGCACAGCATTTTGTTTCTGCCTTTTTTAATATAGGCATTTTTGAAGAGATTAATAAACATACTAACTGTCTTTCTCTTATAATGTGCTTTATCATGAATTTTGATATTTTTTTGTTATTGGACCCAACCAATATTTACAAAGTTAAGAGACATTTGTAAATATACTCTAATTTGCATATTTGTTTTTCCTGGATACCATCTACATTTATTTTTATCCCACGCTGGTTAAACAGTTCTGTAGCTTTCTTTGAAACATTCTTGCACTCTTTGTTTGTCCAAGTTGACAACACAAGAAGAAAAAAGATGTATAGTGAAGAATGCTTATCTCATACATCTCTGAACATGGAAATATAGCATCCAATTTAGGAAAGCATTTCAGTAGGCTGATCAAAATTTTCTCCAACCAGGAAAAAAAAGCCCATGTATGCTGCTGAAAAGTTAGTAATCTTAATATATGAATGGGACAAATGTAGATTAAAAAATCAGTACAAAAGACTTCTTTGGACTGCTTGGATAAAATTATTACTACATCTGGAAATTCAACAATCCTTTCACTGATCTGTTATTTCTCTCCCTCCTTCTTTCCCTTCTTCCTATAATTATGATCTCATCTTAACGTTTTTATCTTTTCTGTAGGTCAGGAAATACACCCACAATTTAATTGCTTTAAAAAAAAAAATATTTGAAATCATCAACATTTTAACTCTGGTAAGAGGACATGGCAAAATTATTTCACTTGTTGATTTTAAACTTCTCTCAGGCCCAGCCCAGATTTTCACTGTATTCACACAACACACTTAGCCAGGTAAAGAGAGAGAGAGAAGATGGATTTCTATAAGAATGCTAACTTCTGTGGCTTTGAGTGAGGCAAAACTAGGTCATTTGGCCAGCTAGTGATCCAGCATGTGAGGCCATCCCAGAAAATGGGTTAATTCAGTAACTAGATTAATAAGCCTGTTATGGGAATACAGCCACTGTGTTGGGAGGATGCAAAGGCAAAAGTGCTGCAAGAATTCAATCAGAACTATATCTGTAGCTGGATTCTTTCAGAGCTGTGCTTAATGGTTCTGATCTTACAGATTAGAAAGAGATGGGCAGAGTCAGCCTATTCCAAGCTCAGTTGATTATGAAACTGATCCCTGAGAAGAAACCTGGAGAGAGGAACTAGACTTGGATTGTGGTACTTAGGGGGAGAAGCAGGGAGAGAACAGGAAGATTGATGAGTCAACTCTCCTTTTAGTCCTCCTAGTCTTCTGTTCCTGTTTACAGAGAATAATCACCTGCTTCTTTTTATACTTTTATTTATTTCTCCTGCTTAATACATTATTATTATTGCCCAATATATAGAGTCCTTAGTGCTGTCTGAGCTTGGTGGTTTCCTTGCAGACATTTCATTATTTGACTACTCCACATGAGTGAGCAAAGCAGCAAACTCAGAGAGCACCAAGGACTTCAATCTTGAGCTCCAGAGATTTCTCTTCTATTGATATCTAAGATCTATTTTTTTTTCACCTGCCCCTAGAGGTCAGTTGCTTTTTAATTTTGAAATGTTTCTCAAGGTTTACTTTTGTTTGAGTTTCTGACTGATGCCATTTCTACCTGACAGATTTACAAATATTTGAATATTAATGTAGCAATGGTTGGCCTAGAAATTTGGACCAATGGAGATAAGATTAACGTGCAGTCAGCAGTGAATATCACTTTGGACTTATTTGGAAACTGGAGAGAGACAGTCTTGCTGAAGCGCAAAAATCATGATAATGCTCAGTTACTCACGTAAGTCTCATTGTGGGGAAAGGGAGTGGGGGTGGCTGGGAGTGGAAGATAATGGGAAGGTTAGTGCTTGCACAGAGCTTCTGCTTTATGCTCTATGCTTTAAACCATGTGTGAACTATGTTTCTGGGTCAAAGTCAACCACTTGTTTTTTTGTAGATGAGTGCTGGTTTTGAGAAGTCCTTGAATGACTGCAGGTGAAAAACCCAGTTTGATTTGATTTCACATGCATTTAAAATTGAAACTCAAATGATTATAAATAACCCCACAGTTAAATTGATAGACAAAATCTATTAAATAAATATGTATTTGGGATTTGCATATGTATTTGGGATTTGGCCCCCTCG